TGTTGTCTTTTATTATAGAACATGTTCAGTTTCTTGGAATCAGCGATGGTATATCTCGATTCAGATACAATCGTGATTTTAAGGATAGAGTTGGTAGTTAAATGATAAGAGTAGCCTGATATATCATCAAGATTATTATTTCAATGTTGAATTTGATTTAATATGTGTATATTTGTGTATATTTTTGAATAATTATAACAAATGACCAACTTTAGACTCAATTGCAAAAATGATCATACACTATTTGAGTAACTGTTCAATTTTTTTTAATACTAATACACCTCTACATTTCTCTACTCATGTCTATCATATCTCTTTCTCTTTCTTCTTTCTCATTCTCTTTTCTCTTTCCTTCGTCTCTATTTTCTTATGCCTCTTATATAAATTTTTTCACTTTCATCTTCTCCATCGTTCATCTCTCTATTTAGTTTCTCTTATAATTTTTTCACATTCATCTTTAAATTTGTATGCTCAAAAAAATATTTTCCAACAATATGAAATTACCATCACAGAATCTGTGTATTGGAAAGTCATATCTAAAGTTAATTGGATATGATCAAAACTGGTTAAAATTTCACTTCTGATTTGAACTTTCAATAAAAAATTAACATTGATTTGATTTCCTTGTAAGTAAAAACAACTTCGTATTCAATTGTTAGAACAAACAATAATCCTATTAAATTGATGCTAACGTATATAATAGTGTGTATCTATCTGAATTACTCTTATAATTCTATTGTTAGACTGCTAACAATACATATAGAATGTTATATGTAGTGCACTAACTACCAAAATAACACCTGTAATAATATAGATAATTCATTATTGTTATCAATCTAACATATTTTTTACCTAGTTAATTATAAGATTATACGTCAATTTATATGTAATGTGCTAAATATATCAATAACATCTTTAATCATCTATACTACTCATTATTGTTATCAATCTAACATATTTTTTACCTAGTAAATTATAATGTTAGACGTTAAGTTATATGTAATGTGCTGAGTATATCCATAATATCTTTAATCATCTATATAACTCATTATTGTTATCAATCTAACATTATATATATTTATCGTGTAAAACATAATGTTATATATAAATTTATATGTTTATATATGATATAATAACTGTTAATCTATAACAAAATATGTAACTTGTTATTATAATGTATATAGCACGTTTGGGGGAAAACAATTTGCGTGGCTGTGGTTTCTTACTCAAAGATATTGCATACTCTACTTATATCTTTAGCTACCTTACCCAAAATCATGATATTTATTGTCAGACGTTTTTGTTCAAGTTAGAAAGAAATAATCTGAGGGCAACATCGTCTTTGCCGATAATCATAGACACAGTAAATTCAGTTTTTGGTTGATCCTTGTTCATTCTCCCAATTTCCTCTCCAATTTGGTATATTGAGCTAATTGACTCTATATTTTTCCTATTTTAATTATCTTTAGAAAACAAATTAGTGTAATTGAATTTTTTTTCTTCTTACAAGATTAACCGACAGCGTAGAAGTTTGGAAGATACAATGGAGTGATCGATGATTTTGAGGACTTTGTAATAGTCAAATCAATAAGTAAACAAAAGAAACTACGATTTAAGTTATTGGAAAACAAAAAGAATCAGTAAACAAGGATAAAAAAAGTCGAGTAACTTTCATTCCAACTCCAATTTAAAATGAAAAATAGAGTGGAGTTAGAGATCAATTTACTGCAAAATAACGTTTAGAGTGAAAATAAAGTGGAGGTTAGAAATGATTTTATTATGAAAAGTAAAAACCAACATAGAATATACCAAAATGGAGTGATTCTTAGAATGCATAAATGTTTCCCTGCTATATTTCGACTAGTATTAGAACCCGTAATTCGTACGGGTATAAAAATTGAAGTAAAAGTTAAAAATTAAACATGAAATATTCACCATTTAAATTTGATGTTTATGTTTTCTTTATTTTTTAAAAAAGGAATTGAGTTATTTTCTTTCTATATGAAGCATCTTTCTTTCAATTAATAACAAAGTTTGTGTAGTACTGATTTTAGAAGAACACTTACATCACAAAACATTCTACCCAAAAAATGATTTTGAGCTAAAAGCATAACGAACCACATAAATAGATAGAGACATATGACTATATGAGAGATAAACGAACCTTGCAATTGGCCATGTCTTCATATTTTGCTTGTTATCTTAGATACATCAGCAAGTTGAATAGTCTTCTAATAATCCATCATTGTTTATGTTAAGTCATAATGGCTGAGCGAGCGGATAGTCAGGCCGGCCTAATAGGTTTTGGCGCCTAAAGCTAGAAAAAATTTTTAACCCATCATTAATAAAAATTTATAAATAGTAGTGTTTGGTTTCGAACTAAGTATCTATGCTTCATACTAATACCTGTTATCCACTGCATTACATTCAATTTTCAGAAAATGCCTTTAATTTTATATATAGTTTTTTGCACTTAAAGCAAAGGTTTTACCTACTTTAGCCCTGAAGTGGTAATCATCCCCATCTTTAAAAAAGAAATATTATGACAGAGTTATTCAAAGAGCTATACATTTTTTTATAGTTTCACAAATAGTGAATGAAGAGTTATAGTGTACTGCAAATCACAATCAAATAATTTATAAAATATTATGTAGTAATAGAAGTGTAAAAAAGTATCATGCGTTAATTGCTTTAGATAGCTTACCTACCGCCGCATTGTGCTCTACCCAATTTGAGAAAAACAACTATTCGGTAACATGTCGACGTTATTTTCAGAGGAAGAAGATTGTGAATAATATATGCATAACAAATATTTGTTTAAATTGCAATAAAACGATTAGTGAAGATGATTATGGGGTGTTTATTTTTTTGGGATCATTATGTAATATATGCGAATGAAGAAACTGCTGCAGTTTTTATTTTGATATTGCAATGGAATAGTGGGGGAATGGTTGCATGAGAAAATTTAGAAAGGAAGATAAAAATGTAAATTTTTTTTAATTTATAATTTATAATTATACATTTATACTGATACACAAATTATGTGATAGAATTTGATTGACGATGTGACTTGTGATTTAGTATATTAAGGATATCAACGTATGTATATGTATACTAGGTGTTTAGCTCGCGTCTTGTACGGACAGATATGTTTCATAAACTAATTACATCACTAAATTATTAACTTTGTTACCAATAAAAAACCAAACACAAATATAACAACAATGTTAGTCATTCAACTAAAACACAAAATAAAATAATGACTCGCTAACATCAATTAATATCATCCCTCGTATTTTCATCATCTTCGGCTTCTTCTTATTCTTCATCACTTTGTCTTCTTCTTATTCTTCATCACTTTGTCTTCTTCAACTCCTTCTTCTTTAAAGTTTTAATTATTTTTCTCCAAATTCTTATTTTTTCCTCCTTATCTTTTCCTTCTTCTTTACCATCATCTCGACTTCTTTTTCACTACATTCGTATTCTCCAATTTTTTCTTCTATTTCTAATTATCGTCTCCATTCTCTGCTTAATATTCTTTATCTTATTTGAATTCTTAGTTTTCTAATTTTCTGCTCTCTTCGTCTTAACCTTCTTCTACTTCGTCTACATTATCCTATGGTTTTCTTCTTCGTCTACTTCTTTGTTTTCATCTTATGATTTTTTTATTTTTTCTATGTCTTTAAATTTTTGAATTTTTATTCTCCTTCTTCCAGTTTTCTTCTTTTTTCTTTAACTTTCACATCTTCTTATTCTTATTATTCTTCATTATTTTGTGTTATCCATATTTTCTTATTCTTAAAAATTATATATCAATTTTCTTTTG